TTAAATTTTTATTTCACATTTTTATTTTTTCTACTGTTACTCTTATTTATAAATTATTAGTTATTTTTAATTATTAAATTACATAAAATTAATATTATTTAAATAATATTACATTATCTCAATAAATTAAATTGTGATAACCACATCTCACCAAACAAGCTTGACGCAGTCCGTGGACATTTTTCTCTATAGATTAAATGGCTGATTGAGCGGATTTCCAGAAGCTATTTCATATATGTGGTTTAAAAGAAATGAAAGATCAATCCTTAATGTGACAATCAATACGTGAAAAATCAGTAATCAGTGTAGGCACGCTTTTAAATTTTCAACCCTTTTTTTTTTGTCCTGATACTTTTAGAAGGAGAAAGATCGATCTCATTTTTCTTTGTGGTGGCCAAGACTTTTGAGTCGGGGAAGAAGGTTGGAAATTTTCCTCTTTAGGAGGTATTTATGATTTTTTATTTTTCATTTTTTCAATGCTGGCATTGGTGATATTTTTGAGATAACAGAACACTGAAAATAAATTTTAACTTTTTTTTAAGGAAAACAAAATTTAGGTCTGCTAAACCAAAATTGTATAAATGCCATTGTACCTGTTGGCTGTCTTAATAGAATACTAGACGGTTATAATCATATTCCTCTTTGACTATGAGAAAAGGTAATTTAAATGTAAATATGAATTTTATTTTTTTATTTACGAATGTAAAATTTATTTTTTTATTTAAAAATAATTTTTTTTTTATATTTTTACATCAAGTAAAAAAATTTTATTTTTTTATTTAAGAATAAAATTTTGATAAAAAGATTATAGATCTATCTTCAAGATTTATTCTATATTTATTCGCTCAAATTTTGGTTTTAAGAAAATTTTTGTGCTGAACTATGGTTATATGAGGAGATTGCTACAATTCACAAACTCATTGTCAATTAATCACTATCATATTTTTATTCGGATAAATCACAATGATTTACTAGATTAACGAATGACAATGACTTAATAAATACCTTATTTTACAATCAATTTATATAAAAAAATATAAATATTAATTTTTATTTAACTAATTAAT